AAGATCAATTTTGAATAATACAAGTTCTTATTAGAGATGTCCAGATGTTAATAAAACAAAAATGTCTTGCTCTAAGACACGAACAGACTTCTTGGAATGAGATTTTTCCGAAATCCGATCGTGCTGAAAATTTCATTATTAATTTACTCATACCGGGTATTTGTCTTATGAATAAACTCTTAAAAACTTGCTCAAAAGTAATTGTAATAAATAGTAAAAAATGCTAACCAAGTGCAGGTGTCGGAGTTAAAAGTACTTTATTATAAGTTAATGTCAAATAACGAAGAGGTTCTTGTGCAAGTGATGGATTTATTTTGATGACACGTGCTCGTTGAAAACAATCTAAACTAGTAACATTTTCAGCAGCTAATTCACAATAACGAAAATTTGGTATTCGACCATGAGATGGACGTGGAAAACGAACTTCGTTTCTAAAACAAATGAGAAAATTTGTATATGAAATAAAATAGAAAAGAAAAAAATGCTTTTCTTTTTCCCCGTTTACTTCATCTCCATTAAATCCCAAACCAGTTGTCGTGCTTTTGCTTTAAATATTTTAATATTTGTTATTTTTGTTATTGATGATTCAGATTTTAATTGATTATTTTTTGATTCATTTCGTTGTTTAAGCCAAATATCCATTTTAATCAAAATTTCATTTATACTTTTACATTTAATTGTATGATTACATGTTATTAAACCATTAACTATATCACGTATACATATCCATTGATGAACATATTGTCGATGTGGAAGATGCATTTTATATATTTGTGTTTTAGCAATATTATTATTTGCTTCATTTGTTGATTCTTTATCAATAAGTATATTTGGATAACCAATAGCATTACATAAAACTGATGAATTATGATCAACATCAAGAGCACAAACTAAATGAGAAACAAAAATCATGAAATCAACTTTTATTAGTTTTGTATGCTATGATTGATTACATTCCGCCCTCGAAAAAAGTCAATTTTCATTAGAAAAAATTGAAATTATGATAAATGGATAGAAAAATAGCTCGAGATATGAACTTTCATAAATGGCATCAATTTTTTCTGTAAAAATGAATTTTAAACTGTTCGTATGGCAAATAAACACTTTAATAAGTTTCGTCAATCGTCGTAGAAAAATTAAAGCTATTACAAAGAAAAGCTTTATTTTAAATATTTTCGTTCGTCCCTCTTCTTCGCTTAAAAGTAAGAATTTAAAAAAATGCTCTGTCATACTCTTTCAAACAAGAAAAAAATTAAAATATATTGAATGAAGGTCCACAGAAAACTGTGTATTGTCAAATGACTTATTTTTGACCCTTGTTTGGTGAATGCCTCCTTGGAAGTTCAAGAGATGGTGTTGAAAATGTTAGCATAATCTCTTGACTATAGTTCTAACATATTCCAAAGATTTCATGCGATGTAAATACATTCCCTTGACTAACATCGAAAGTAATAAAGCTGAAAAGAGACCTTCTATTTAATTATCAGAATACTATAATGATCCACATGATTAAATGATAAGTGGTTTCAATGGAATACGAGCTGGCACTTATCAATTACTTGACTATCGTGTGGGTGAAAATTACAACATCTGTTTTAAGCTTATTTTCTTTCTTTTTAAAGGTTATCATAATTGATTAAATATTCGTAACTGTCGAAATTACTCAATCACATGGCCTTTCATCAAATTATTGTCATATGAAGAAGAAAAGGGTAAAATGCATTACCATTCAAAGATCGACTGGTGCAACAAGAAAGAAAAAAAATATTTGAATAATAGTTATACCGATAATAATCTTATCAATGCATCGGATCTTCAAGTCGATTTATTCATTTATATATGTTATTTCACTATTCTATAAGTTTTTCTGCTGAAATATAATGTTTTACTTCTAATATCACAATAAAAAAGTCTTTATTAATAATATCTTTGCATTTATTATATTTATAAAGTTGTATTTTTCGACTAAATTCAGATTCACCATTAACATTCACTCGATTTAAGATTTTTTTTTCAGAAGGGAGCGCAATCTCAAGTATTTTGCTATTCAATAGATTCAATTTGGAATTTTGGGTTTCGCTTGAAAAAATAAATTAGTATTTACCGCATAAATCTGAAGTCGGACCGGTTGAATAAAACATACATCTATGTTTAAAATCTAATCGTTGTTCAATCATTTCTAATAGAAGATCATTCGAATTAATATTTGTTGGTGTTGTAGAACAAGATAATGCACGTCGACTAGATTTTTCAAAATTAGTTGGTGATGAATTATTATCCATTGTTGTTGAATTAGTTGAATTTATATTTGTTGACATTTGTTTTAATATTGTTCGTCGATCAATATCGAGTAGACAACAAAGAAAATCTGATGAACGTATTATATCACAAACTGTTCTTTGTGAACCATGTTTGCAAATTTCAACTTCATACGGTGATAAAAAATAACGATCTTGTTTTCGTGAAAAATTATAATAAAGTAATATATGAGGCAGTTCTTCAATTATAGTCACCGGAAAAAACATAAGCTTCATTTCAGGGATTTTAATGGTTTTTGAGATATAATAATAGATTTTTAATTTTTCATATCTATAAATAATAATATTAAGCAGTTATCAAGTTTCCTCTCTTATAGAGTTTACCATTGTATTTTTTTTTGATAAAAAGAAAAATAACACTACTATATAAAATAAACACGCGCATTAAATAAAAAAAAAAGAGAAAAAAAAAGACAAAGACAAAGCACCGAACTATCTGTTTTCATTTAGCAAACAAATAAAAAGTTAATTTCACAAAAAAAAATAATAGACTTTATATTTCTTGGCTTTATATATATATATAATTTAAATATTACACATTTACATATTTTGGTGTATGATGGAATGAAAAAAATAAAAAAAAAGAACAAGGGAACGAAATTTGCATGAATTTATGAATTACCCGTTAAAAAGTAAATAAGCCTTTTCAGTTCATTTTTTAATAACTGACTTAAACCATATTTATCTGGATTAAATTGGCTAAAATTATCAATATGTAAAATCAATTCAAATAAACAACGTTCTTTAAGTGTTAATATCCATCGAGAACGTTCTAAATTAAGTTTTGTACATAAATGTACAAGATCATCAATATGAATTGGTGATGTTTTTAGTTGTAATAAATTTAATTGAGCTTTATTTTTATAAGTTTTAATAGGATCTATGTAAAAAAATGGATGTTCAATTAATGATTGAAGTTCAATACGTTTATTTGATTGAAATTGAAATATTTGTTTTAATAAATCATATAAATAATCTCTTTTATTATAATCATTTGTATGTATTGTATATTGATTAAATATTTGTTTTAATAAATGATTAAGACGTTGTTGATCACTGTCACATTTTATATTTGAAAATAATTGTTTAACATGACATGGAAAATGATCAATTGATGATAATGTTAAACCACCAACTAATTGAACTATACAAAGTAATTGTAATGATGGATCATCATTTTGTGGACGAAATAATATTGTATTGATCATCATTTCAACTATAATACAACCTATGGACCAGACATCTTCTTTTGAATTATCGATTGATTCAATGCTGAAAGACACAAAAAAATAAATAAACATTCATTTTTTTTATCTGGTTCCATATCTTGCAAGTGTTCGCGATCTAATAGCGTAAACAGAAGAAGTCTTCCTTAGAAACAGATGGAACCGATTTAAAAAGGAACACAAGTCCTGTCTGGAAGCGTTACCAGAGAGATTTCTTCTCTTCGGCAGACATGGTGAAACAAACTAACGAAAGAACTCCCTTAGATGTTCCCGTTCTATTTCACGGATTTTTACCTATGCATATTACATAGTATTCTAATAAAACTGCTAGAAGAATCTGGGTTCCGATTGAGCATCGAAACCGTAATATGTACATTTTCCTGGGATCCCAGTTTTTCAGCAAACTCGTACTTTGAAATTTCGCTGTCAAACTTTTTGCATACATAGAAACAAGTCAACTAGAGTAGCATCCATAGAAAAAAGTATGTTGTATGCACTATTCAATTGTGTAGCATCTATAGACAATAAACGATTAAAATCGAAATGAGTAGCCTAAGAAAATTTGCACATTAGCTGCTATATTTATGAATATTGTTCACTTATTCAATCAATTCTGCTACCAAAATAATGAGTATATTGCCATTTCAATACATTTTATTCTTTCTGTAAGTTTGGAACTGTTGATTACGAAAACGTAAGCGTGGAATCATTTTGTTCCTTATACTATGTTCTACAAAATATGCTTTTCATCTATTTTTACATCTAGGTAATGTGTTCACATGTCAGAATAAAAGCATGAAAGAGCTTAAAAGCTTTTTAATGACTCGAAGTATACTTCAAAGTTTTGCTTAGATAGCCGAAAGGAGTGAGTTAAGTACAAAAAGAAAATGAAAAGCGCATTTTTGAGAGCATAGGTTAAAGAAATAAAATAAGATGTCATTATCATTTACCTAATCAAGCATTCAAAACTTATGAGAAAAATAAAATGCACTGAATTAGTAACATGCTCACTCTTCCGATAGTAGGGTTGTCCAAACAAGTTGTTATCTTTTGATTAATATAAAACGAAAGATTTAATGTAGCTTTAGGTATATTTTTTTTACACTAGCAAAAGAGATTTTCGTTTACTATCAATAATTAAAACAAAATACTGTTCTTTCTTGCTGATTCTATGTGTAACTTTTATCACACAACAAAAGAATGCTCGAGTCAAATGCTTTTAAAGATAAGAAAAATAAAGGTTGTATTGACCTTTCACAAGAAATTTTATCTGTGTCTGATTAATAGAAATGCTATGCTAGTTTTGTTTTTTTTTCGATCGTATCACGTCTGACGAAAAGAATTCCAATATTGTAATAAGTAAATTTTTAGAAAAAACAATTCAATCTTTAGTTTAGAGATGTGTAGGGTAGAATAAGGATATAGGGTACGAGAAGAAGCTTAGCCTGTATGCCTCCATCTTCATTATAGCAAAATCAGTTTAAAAAAAGTTTGGTTGCTGTCATAAGCCGAAAAGAAAATTTTTTCAAAAGAAAGGAGAGTAGAACACGATTTACAGAAACATCTCAGAAACAGATTTGATAGGCTTCAGAGAAACGTGTTTAACAAAATCAAATGAATTTAAAGAATACACATTTTAAACTTACTGAACAAGAGATTCATTTTTAATAATCATTCGTAATAAACTTTCTGGTGCATGTCTCCATAAATGATGATGTTGTACTATTCCACCATTAAGTTTTGTTCTTGATATTGTTGGTGAACATAATCGAATTCGATCATCACGTGTTAATTCAATATTTGTTGTATACCTTTATATGAATTAAAAATTATAAATTACTAACAAAGAAAAATAAAAGCAAACAATATACCAAGGTGTTAATGGACAAAGACCTTTTGATTGTAAATAAATAGTTCCATTAATTATTTGTAATGATAAACGACAAATACGTTCAAGTGAAAATGCTTCAGATTCAATTGCATGACGTAATGTACCTTGTATGAGTTTTGTTATTGAATAAAGACATCCATCAGCAATATACCAAGATAATATTCGACGAACATTTGGATGTAATAATTGACTAGTTAAAAGTATTCGTTCATATAGATGATTTTTATATTGTTGTGTACTCGTCTTAGATTTTAAACAAAGATATTTAGTTATATGTACGGGTTGTTTTAATATTGGATCAATAGCATTTATTGTTGGACTATCAATACCACCTAGAAAATAAAAGATGAATAGAAATGTTTGAATAAAGAAATCATAAATATTAACCATGAAATAAAGAATCAGATATTAGATCTTGACGAGTAATAAATTCACGTGGAATTGTAAATGCTAAATTAGTATCAGTTTCGTGATGATCATTATTTTGTTGTTGAACAATCGAATATTGTTTAAACCGAGATGACCTAAAATATTGAAATAAAATTCAAATTTTCTAGGAGAAAAAATTTTTCTGAGCACAATTTAATAAATTTATATTACACAAGGATATTTGCTTTTTCATTCATTGCATTTACTAAATATTTCAAATCAATATTAAATTCAATTTTCGTCACGTTAGAAAAGACTTCTACAAATTTCATGGAAGTTGTGGTTTCTGTCTCCTACTATAGATAAGCGTAATTGCATATGGGTGTAGGTGTTTGGGATTGATGCAACAGGCTATATTCTAAAATTAATAGCGAATTATGATTTGATTATTACAAGATTATCGTCAAGATTGTCTAGGAAAGATGCAGGATATCTTAATATCAGGATTCGGGGTCACTATTTTATTCAGACTTAGAAAAGCTCGTTTGAAATTGGAGTATAATTCGAGTTCGAATGAAGATATGTTGGATATTGCAATAGAAGATGAAACGCAAATAAAAACCTCAATCATTACTGTTATTAATTTCATTTCTTATGCAAATTTCAAAATACCGCTCAACAGCAGACTCTCTGACGAGCTGTCCTAATAAAAAAAGGTCTAAGTCGAAGATAATTAATAATTTCAATGAAAAGCTGCAAAAAAAGTTTTAAGATGAAAATTTATTTCATAATTACCAAATCATATAGTTGAAATAGTCAAAAAAATGAAACATTTTTCAATATATCATATCTCCAGAGCAAGCTATACCTTTGTAAATCGTTTGCTACTCACGACTTTTATGAATCGAAAAAAGTCAAGTACTCTTGATGATAATAGATTTCTGAGTGGTAAAATGGTAATTATATCAGTCAAAAGTATACTAATGACTGACAAAGTAGAAGCTTTTTCTTTTTCTCGTAGATTTTTCAATTGATATCTTATAAGAGGAAATTTAAAAAGCCCATTATGTATTATCAAAGAATAATTAGTCGTTTTGTTAAATCAATTTCAATATATGACATAACAGTTTTTTCTCAAAGATTATATTGTTGTTTTTTTCCGAAGATACAATATCTTGAAGAATTGTATATTTTACATTTAACTATTATGATTTTAATGATAAAGAATATAACAAAATATAAATTCTAATTAATTGTAATATATGACACTATGAATAATAATAACAGACAAAATATGTTACTTACCACATGATAGAAAAGAAATGTATGAATAATCACATATCAGTCGTCGATTATCAGAATCTACAATGAGAGTAGACAAAATTTTTTGCCGTTCTTTATATTCAAGTGTATGTGATGTTTGTTTGAGTTTTTGGAATATACAAAACAGACCTTATGTTAAGAAGTAGGTCAATTCTTTGAGATTGAGAATATAAAATCCGTCTTTCGACTAGATTAAACCTGATACTTTGCAAGAGGAGATCATAAACTAGGTAGAGGTTTCTGTGAACTAATCCTACAAGTTGAGGTTTTCAAAAAAAAAAGTTTCTGTCTTATTAAAACGAATGTTTTTATTTTTCTCTCGTCTCTGTTCTCTAAAAGTTACATACTTTTCTTCAATAGAAGATATTTCTAGTTTAAATAAAGAATATATCAAAACATTTCAATCT